GCATCCCTCTTCTCGGGATAGATGGCCAGCGCGGCGGTAGCAAGACCGAGCGGGATCGTAGCAGCTTGCTCGGGAGTGATGTTGGTGGGGATCTTATTGAGAGTCAGCTTCAACGTATGTTAGAGAATATGACAGCATGCGTACCTTGGCCATACGGAGGGAGTCGACCACGACGAGCTCCTGGAACGTCGTGCGGTCGTTGTGCATATGCCCGGGGTAGAAGCTATGGATAGTCAGCCTTCGTGCAGGTGTAACTCTGAGCGAAGACTCGTACACTTTGTCACCTATCTCCCAGCCGTGGACGTCGGGACCAAGCTTGACTACTTCGCCAGCGCCGTCGCAGCCCGGAACGACCGGGAGCCTATCCTCCGTGATGTAGAAACCTATGCGAAGTGCGCGATGAGTTCCATTCAATCCATCTGAGAGTCATACAAGACGACGTACCGACAAGCTGCATGTAGCTGTCAATGGGGTTCAAACCCACCGCGATGGTGCGCACAAGAACTTGGCCCGCCCCAGGCGTCGGCGTCGGGCGAGTGCCAAGTTCCATGCGTGCACCCTTGGCGTGAATGAGAAGAGCCTTGTGCTGCTGAGACATGTTGCAAAGTTGTATACTTGGGAGGGTAGTGCTGAAGAGTAAGAGAGTGGTGGTGAGTCTTAGCCTGTCAACGAGGCAAGCCTTATATAGTACTCGCCTTGCCCCGTCACCGCGTCACCATTGGGCGCCAGCGCTGTCCTGCGAGTGTTGTAAGCAAAGGCTGTGGCTCTGTAGTTACTGGTCTTACGCACCTGTGAGACACCATGTTCGGATGGCCCGTCAGTCGGGAGAACCATGGCCGAGAGTCGGTCTGGCCGAGGAATGGTACGGACGCGTCAGTCAGAGTTACGAGTATCGCGGGTCTCAAATCGCGATGACGATGCAATAGTCGTGAGCCTTAGGTCGTAGCATGTTGGCCGAGCGGCATCGCATGAGATGTAGATGATAGGTCGTATAGTTGAGATGACGCGTTGAGCAACGGAAAGCGTCGGCATCGTACCCGCGGGCGCGCCGAGATCACTCCATTGAGTACTTGATCTGAAGCCACAGCGTCGTACAAAGAGTTGACCCTTAATTGATCCTATAAGTCATACAGAGCTGTCAGCACAAACAATATTGTATACGGTCGTACGCGTAGACGACGCACGTTCAAGCTGCTTGGGCGGCCTCGGGCTAGCCTCGGAGGCATACGTGTCAGAGCTGTGACGGTTGAATATGTCACTGCGGTGTTGAGTCTCCTGCTTCGGTCCCGGTGTTCGCTCGGCCACATCTGAGGCGGCTGAAGCCTACTGATGTCAAGCGAGTTTGTACGTCCGTCACCACGACGGCGTATCCAGATTGACGGTCTTCCCATGCTGGGGATTGCTATAGACCATCTTAAAACGCTCTTGGCTTGATGGCCAGCGTGATTCCGGCTCCTATGTAGTGAAACGGCTTCAATTGAAGGGGAAGATGTTTGGTGTATTGTCAAGACAAGGTGGAGGCAGGAGAAAGACCAGTCGAGCGCATCAGGCACGTTCAGTTGATCGGACCGAAAGTCCCGCCAGCGCCGCCGGCAGACGAATTGCAGACCGCCGTCGCTTAGCTCCAACCACTTTTGTCTGCGTACATGAATCAATCAATCGTGCTTCAACCTACCCTCATGCGTGGCTATGCGCAATACATACTCAAATTCGTATCCCGTCTTGACCTTCACGTCCACCTGAGGAACCGAGCTTGGGATTCTGGGACGCTTCTCGTGGTTGCCACGAGCGCTTTCGCCTGCATTGCGGTCGACTGGCCTCTACACAGACGACCACCGCGTACTTGAGCACCCTTCAACTTTCATGGCTGATCTAGCAGCAAAAATCAAACAGGACGCAAATGAGCTCTTCAAGAGGCGGGCATTCACAGAGTGGGTCTCTAAATAGTCCCGCATATAATATAACTGATGAGAGCGCAGTGCCGCGAATATGTATGCCAGGGTACGCTTTTTGATCGGAAACTTGAGTTGATAAGCCAGTCTCACATTGTGGTAGGCAGAACAACTGGCGCCCAACGACCCCGTATATCCATCGAATCTAAGTGCGGCGCTATTCGAGGCAGGCGATTACGCTGCTGCGTTCGATGCAATTGCGCGTTCATGGAGCGCGCTATCCATTGCGAACGGTCCAGACATATCTTTGGCGCTACGCCTTTCGGCACGTCTTGCCCGGACGATCTCGAACGGCGTGATGTCAGGATCACTATCTTTTCTGCAGATAATGGGCAAGGACGAAGTGGTCACAGGCCTACGCGGCACAGCCGAAGCGTATACTACACACGCCAGCGCACCCGACGCCCTGCGCGCTTGGGAAGAGTGCGATGTTATCCGTGGATCGCTAGCCGGGATCCAAGACGAAGACAAGGAACGCTCGCGAAGGGCATTCGCGCGCCTTCCGGTCCTAAAGCAGTTCTAGTGCGCTTCCCCATAGATCTCCCCAAGAGCGTGGAAACTGAGAGCTTATGTAGCGACGGTGCAACTCCCGAGTACTATCTTGTGAGCACGGGTTGCGCATCACGCTTGCTGCATTATTCAGTCGCCGCCTTTTCATCTATCAGGTTGGACATGATCATCTGCTCTCCATTTTAGACGACTATGGCCCAGACCACCCTTGTCCGCTGGACCTCAAGGCGTGCCATGCTGATGTGCTTTCCAACCTGTCGTTTTTCTTCGGCGGCGTGGGCGATGGTAAGTCATGTGAACGCAGTCATTGAGCGTTACTGACTGGATACGCCCAGCTCGACATGTCTATTCCTCTATTATTGGGCTTGGACGCGGAATCTCCAGTTTGTCTGACGAGCAACGCAACGCTACGAAGGTTCACCTCGCTCTATCGGACATTCACCCCGCTATGCTGTGTCGTGACTTGGTCATCCTCATGTTGCTCGACCTACTCCGCGCCCAACCGAATAAGCCCGACGAGCTCTCTATCAAAGCAGCCATCCACTATACTTTCAGCTTCAACGTTATACCGAAGATATACATGAAATGGTACGCACGAGCGTCGTTTGTTGGCAGCTTTATACCTGATCGACGCTGAGCGCTCCCTAGGGTGGATAACACTATTGGACGACTACGGCATACACTGTCATCCACACCATCTGCTCTACCACCGTGGTTGCACGTCTCAACAGAGGCTGCGACGGCACTGGTCAAGATATTGGACACGTGGAGCCCACTGGAAGCCGGCCAGACAGCGGAGAACATCATGACCGTGGCACGCCACCAACCCTCAATGTCCGAGCGTCATGCTTCACAACCGTCCAAGGAAGGGCTTGCACGCACGAAGCAGATGATCTTTTTTGCATGTGCATCGCGGCTGGAGAACTACGGGGCGAGCATGGTGCATTTACTTTTCTTGGACATCTAACGACATCCTAATGGCCGCTGCTAGCACTCGGCTTACGACCGCGCTGGCCCGGATGCCACCCGAGAACAAATTGTTGAAGATATGTGGTACTATGCCACGGAGACGCTGGTACCTCCGAAGAATCTCCGAGACAATCTCTCCGCGACCTCGGAGCTCTGGCATTACCTTGATTCCCCGCGACCAGGGAGGCTCACTCGCGAGGAAGCCATCCGCATGATAGCGGCTGTATGTATATCACCTTTCTTCGTACAATGCATCCACTGATTGATATACAGTCCTTCTCCGAGACGTATGATCACTATGGGGCCAACCCCACTTTCTTCGTAAGTTACTCTACCATGTTTAACCTGTAAATTGCTCGCATGTCTGCCACGTAGGATCCCATCTCTACCCGGAACAATCGCTTGAGCTTCGGTGGTTGGACCAATATCGAGGGTAAAGACTACTTGCGGGATGTTGTACGCTACCTTGAGGTCTTCAATCGGCGGTTCAGACTTCCACCAAGCCCAGTCTGCACGGATGGCCCCGCTTCAGCCGCGTTTGGCGTGTCTTCGACGTTTTTCGAGGCGGTTGTTACGGCCTGGCAAGTGATAGGTGATAAGCTCACTTTCGAAGTTGTCCTCGGCGATATGAACCAACAACTAGCTGTCATGCGAAGCTCTGGATCAGCCCGTGCAACATGTTTGCCGACCAAGTTCACACGGATGTGGCTCAGTAATGTCCCGTAAGTGCATTTCACACTTTTCTTGCTTCGTGTGCTTCGTGGTGATGAACTCCAACTTTTGCTCTAGTGATTACACACATGGCTTGATGAGCCAGATCGTTTTTGCTCTGCCCAGCCTACAAACACATCGCAAAGCGGAGATTGGGAGCAACTGTCTATTGCACACACTCTCGTTTCAGGGACAAGCAGCAGACTATTGTCATACGTACGTCGATGTCAACTAGATACCCTGACTTGGTCCGCACGCTGATGCGCCTTGTAGGTACACTCTTCTGCTTCCACAAGACGTAACCCGCTATTTGAACTGTCGCATAGACGAGTTGGACGCCCAGAGTAGAGAGCGCATTGGGTGGCAGAGTGACGATCGCATCCTCAAGGCGTTGCCGCTGCGCGAGGATGTGACTCGTTGGCTCACCCGTGTCCTTGTGAACATTCTCTGGCCTGGGGACCTCACCATCCCCGACCGCATCTACGGATCGAATGGGGTCCGTCAAGCACTGAACCTCAATGCCTTCGTCGCGCTGCTGTTCCATCTACGGGAACTTGGATATCCCGCTCACTGGCTCTCCGACTATACGAACAGCCTACTTTCGAATCAGTTGACATCGACTGTCGAGCTTTATGCAGGACCCCTACCAATCCCTGCCGCGTATTCTACGAGACGCATAGCAAACCGCCAGCTCTGGATGTCGCCTTGGGTGACCGAGCTGAAGACAACCCTGTCACTGGCTGCTCCGATCATCCCCTTCCCTGTGCGCGACATTCGTCACGACGCCGTTGCGATCTTCGAGGCAGACCCTCAAATCGATTATCCTATGCGCCATGGCTTATACAGCGCTGGGAGACAGTCTACGGCGCCGAACATCCATCTCATGATTCTACACCCTACCATCTTCGCCCAGCATGGTCGACTGATTCGCGACATACGTTGGATTCTCGATGGCTCCGGTAGCCGCCCGGAGTCGGATCAATTGGCCATCATCACCTCGCCGGAGGTCGTAAGCGCGACAGATAGCCTCATACGTTGGCGGCTGCGCGTGCTGGACTACGAGAGGATGAAGAATGAGGAGTGGACGCTAGTGATGTATCGTTTCGACACAAACTCTCCGGTCAGGTCTTCTCCTCTTCATGCCGGCTTGCCCAGTCTCACTAATTGTCAACAGGTAGGAAAGGCGATGCCTTCTACATCGTGGAAGAAATATGAAGAGTCAAGTACAAGCGGGTAGTAGAGGTGACTGCACGGTGGCACACCACGGGATACATTGGATAGTTCGGTATCCTCTCGGACTTCATGCTACCTTATGTACACTCTTCTTGTGATGCACCACACTTCGCTATTTCTCTCGATGGACAAGCGCGAACTTTACGTAGCAATCTCATGTCTATTCTTACAAGCTCTCGCTCATTCCACGCTGCCAGCCTCCGGTGCTCGGCCCGACCGCCGGCCAAGCTAAGACGCTCGCATTGGCGGGTTGACTAGCAGCCATCACGACAGCGAGCCGGCACAACCTCGCGAGACCTTTTGCTTGCTTGTACTCTGGCGGTCAGAGTCTCAAACTGGAGAACTCACCCATGTTGCGTACGAATATGACGGTCCATGTGGATGGCAACGACATAGCGCCCGTCGCACGACCCATGACATCCTCTTCTTCAGGAAAGAACTTGGGCGATACACCGAACACCTCGTACTACTCAGTGCCGCCGTTCCGGCATCGCTCTTACCTCTGAACCTGAGCACCATCTATGCGACGATACACGCCTCTATCGGAGGGCACTCTTACTGGTGCTCTCTGAAATAACCAGACAGTGCGCGGGATCAAATCGAATCTGTACCTGTATTGCAGTAACCGGCGATTCTCACAGCGGCTTCGCCGTACGGTGTCGGTGTCTCTTCTTGAGGTTTTGGGGGTCCCACGAGTACGTAGGCACATCACGACTCCGTAAACTCTCGTCTAATTCGCTGCCAGAAGATAGTAATCTACATGCAAGCAAGTTCTATGAACACAGTATGCAATGCAGGGCTGTGGAGCCAAGGGTCCTCGTTGCGCCGCACTGCTTCTCTACACAAAAGACTTCCATGTCGAGGAATACCTCGCTTAGGTGCACTGCCCCCTAGGCGCTCTCTATGTTCGTCTTCATGGTTCTCGAATCTCGAGCGCCCTAATTTGTTCACCGCCTCCGTGGGCTGGCATCCTCCTGCCCTCTTAAGTGTCAGAGGTTCTCTCGCGACTTGAACTTCACTCATCCGCCGGCTGTCATGCGTCCACTCGCCCTAATGTATCCGTCCCTTCCTCGTCCTCATGAGCGGAGAGAGGGCGTGGGCCACGCCACTAGTAGCGGCGACAGCGGTGGCGGCGACGGCGACGCGGACGATGGAGGCATGTCTGGCTCTGAATACGGATCTCCCGGTCAGACAGGCGAGACTAGCGAATCGTCTAGCGCTCATGGTATGTAGACGTACGCCGGACCGTTCAGAAACATAATCAACATTCCATTCTGCAGGTACGCAAGTGGCAACACCCAATCTCATGGACGGCAGGACAAGTGCTTCTTCGTATGGCACCGGAGGTGGTAAGGCGATGAAGATTACTAGCGGGCTATTCGAAGGCAATCTTCTCGGTGGAGGTACACGTCCAGAAGTGTATGGCACCAGGTATGTGACGATGTCCTTCGCCTTCTGTTTGAAGAGTCGCTGAGGCGGCGAGGACAGTGTCTACGGCAGTGGTTACCCAAAGGGTTATACAAGTCACGATCTCCCATTCTATTTCTTTCCCATCGTATGGGGCGCTGGCGCGACGGCCGGGACAACTACTTATCCTCTTTACCTCAATCGGACAACGGAGTTTGGGCAACCTACGAACTCCTCGCGACCCGGCGGCCCCCTCATGCAAGCAACACTACGAACCAACGCGAGCGACGATGTGTTCCACTTTCTCGCGGATAACACTACGGTGTACACACTTCTACCCATCCTTCGCTCGAATTGCTCCGCGTACGGACACCTCAACGCGAACACTTCATCTTTGGCACCATACGCCTATATGGGTGCAAACGCCAGCGACCCGCTCCCCGTCGATGCTCTACAGTACTACCGTTCAAGTTCAGCGGTGTTGACGCTGGAGGGATACAATAATACGGTTGTCTTGAGCTCTACTCCGAATGCGACGGCCAAAGCACTGCCTGCGAACGTGGATGTCATGACTTTGTCATGTTTAAACGATACTATCGGAGCCGCCGTTCCACTCGTCAATCCGCCAACCGTGAAGCCACCTCTTTCTGCGGGTGCCATCGTCGGCATTGTCATCGGCAGTTTGATTGGAGCGTTCTTGTGTTGTTATAGCTGCGGTGTGGCCTGGGCTGTCGTCAAATACACGCCGGTGCTAGATCGCATAGAGGCGCGCCAGGAACGGAACCGACAAGCACACTCGCTGGATAATGACGTACATCTTCCTGATAGAGCTCATCCAACGGCGGCAAACCCTGCGCAACCTGCAGCGCAGGAGGATAACACCAAAGAACCGAATGCACGTCCTACTGCAGGACCATAGAAGATGGATGTGATACGAAGGGCTCGACTAACGGACACAAGCCGTGAGCAGCCTCCTGCGTCGGGCAGCTACGCAGTACTCGACGAATGCGTTATGAAGAGCGCTACCTAACCCGCAGGCCATCACGATGGGGGCGACATTAGCTTTTGGCTTGTAGCTAGTACGTACACAATCACGGCCATCCTTGCGACAAAAGATGGCCGCCTCCGCCACTTGCTGCCATTGAATTTGCATCTCCTTAAGTGTATTGTACCGTGATATATATATGAGGTGTCCATCCTGAAGGCTATTCGCGCATCGCCCCAGTCGAAACTCGCGGCCAGGTAGCCTTGTATTCCTTCCAGAGGCCGGCCCACGCAAGCAAATAGCGTGGCCAGTATGAGCTCGAAAGAGAAGCGTGCGCGATTGACTATTGAAGGCGGCTGAGAATCAGCTCAGGACAATGTGGGAGGCGGAGGGAAAGCGAGAAAGGTCAAGTCGCTCCGACGCGTTCGGCGCGCTCGGGTGTTCGGACCGATGTGCTCAACGCAGCGCCCGTCGCACATCGCCATCGCTTGGCTTCACCCACTCATGGCACATCATGTCTCGAACCAGCATTGTTCAATTGTATTGTGTTTTTTCTGTGCCACTGAGGTCGCTGTGAGGTTATACAAGGCATGCGCTCACCCAGCCGTACACGACCGCCCGCCAGTAGGCTTGGATCCTGGCACGCCTGTCAAGACCACCTTGAGCGTCGTTGCCCCCATCATGGTCGTTCTCGTCATGCAAGGACGGCCACCTCACACATGGGCGTGTCTTGTATGACAGATGGTTGAAATAGCACAGGAAGCGAAGGGGCTCTCTGGAGGGCGTTCAGGGAGTGCGTAACCCAACAATTTCCGCGTCGTACCGTTCTGACCAAAGCTCTTATCAACAGGATCTCAACTCAATGAGTGGCATCATGTACCTGAAAAAGTATATCGGGAAGATTTTGCACCAGGCGAAGGAACCGGTGTCCAGCGTTCAACGACCAGCGTTCAACGACCAGCGGCCTGACAGCCGCAGTCGCTCGCTTCACAATCCTCCCACGGACTGCCAGGGCACCCTCTATGGCCCACAGTAACCACCGCGAACAACGAGGGTCTGAGTAGCTGGCCTTGTGCCTCCTTTTGTCGGAAGATGCTTCGAAGCATTGACTTCAGTAACGCCTTCCTACCCGTAGAGCAACAGGACGGTGCACAATCGACTTCTCGCGCGATCCTGCTGTACCACAGCACGCCTCAACAACAAAGGCAACCACCCTCTCGCGCACAGCATTGTCAAGCTCTGTGGTTTCCAGAGCTGGACGATCAATGACTAGAGCTCAATGCCGTGGAATCTACCCGCCCTTGTTACGCTCAATATAAAGGGCCCCCGCGAAACCTCACAGCTCTACATCGACTCCATCCCTTCCACTCAATCTACCCGTCCACGTTTACGCATAACTTTCTCATGCTCTCCTCGTGGATGCCGTCCTCTCTCGGTCGTCGCCGCGGCGGCGGAGGTCATGGTGGCGGCGGCCACGGTGGTTCGCATGGTGGCGGTAGTCACGGCGTTGGTGAAAGCTCGGGCGCCAAGGGCTCTGTATCCGGCGGGGTACACGGTACGCGGATGTCGTCTATTGTCCACGTCTATCCTGAATCGTCTTCCAGGTCCAGTCCGGCAGATTCCAACACCGAACCTTCCAAGTGGAAAGTCGAGTTCCTCTACGTACGGCAACGGTGGAGGAGAGATGGTGAAGGCAGGTAGTGGTCCGTTCAAGGGAGAATTGCTCGGCGGTGGTACAAGAACGGAAGTCTACGGTACCAGGTAAGTGTTACAATTGTATACTCGGGTGTGGGCGTCTTGATTGACTCCGCATCTTTAGTGTCTACGGAAGCGGCTATCCCACTCGATATCACGGAAGCGGCCTCCCCTACTACTACTACCCCGTGGTATGGGGCACTGTATGGGGCACTGGGCCTGTTCCTTACCCAACGTATCTGAATCGCACGGAGGAGTACGGCCAACCGACGAACAACTCAAGACCGGGTGGCCCACTCATGCAAGTCACTCTGCGGTCCAATACGACGGATAGTACCTTCCACTTCCTCGCGGACAACTCGACAGTGTACTCGCTCCTGCCAATTATCCGCGCGAACTGCTCTGCACACGGGAACCTTGACAACGCCACTTCCTCGTCCGTTCCTTTTGTCTACGTCGGCAACCCGGGGAACGCGAGCGATCCACTTCCGACGGATGCAGTGCAGTACTATCGCGCAAGTTCTGCGGTATTGACATTGGAAGGCTACAATAACACGATCGTTCTGAGTTCTACGCCGAATGGAACAGCGAAGTCGATCCCTTCCGGCGTAGATTCGACATTGCTCGCGTGTTTGAACGTCACCATCGGCTTTGCGATCCCACTCGTTGACTCGTCCGGCGCCAAGAAGTCGCACCTACCCGCAGGTGCCATTGTTGGCATTGTGATTGGTTCTTTGGCCCTGTTGCTCATATGTTACGTTTGCTGTTGTCGCTGTGGTGGGGATGGACAACGAGTTCAGCGAAGCCGAACGTCACGATACCAAAGCGTACCCCCCGGGCATGAGTCTTACTCGATGGCGGCACGTCCTGCGCAAGCCCGGAGCGATCGTTGGAGCGAAGAGGCCATGAATGCACCGAGGACGCCTTCAAGTCCCATTCAGTTCCCTCAGCAGATCAAGTCATTCGACGGGGAGCGGGCTGGGTTCTCAAGGTACACCCGATAGGACACGTAGTACAGCACGTTCTTGAGGATATCTTCCTTCCGTACTCCATGTATCATCGTGACACTATACCATCCAACTATTCCATGAAGTGCTATACGTGCATATGCGCTTACGAATTACTTCCTTTGCGAACGGTGCCTACAAGTTGTTCTCCTTCGCAAGTACATACCAGCTGGCCAATCGATCCAGTTAAGGTCCAGCCGGGCACAGGGTCTCATTGTAACATACTATGTACTTCCTGCTTACTTGAGTATAGAGACTCGCGTCAGATCTGAGAAGAGTGCTGCTCTTGGTTGCGGTGCGCTTCAAGCCGACGCTGACGTCGCCGAAAGAATCTGCCCCAAACGTGTCGCGACACGGTCACATGCCCGTGCTCAGTTTTTCGAGCGCGTCTCCGTCGGCTCTTGCTCTTGACGTCCATGCATGGTACGTACGCTCCCAGTGCCTCACAGCCTGTGAAGAATCCAAAGTCATGGTTACTCGCTACGACACGTGTGGACTGATAGGCTAGTGTGACGGATTCATCGGGCATCGCGTGGACCAAATGCAGGCGCTGTGGTACCGAGATGGTCTCGGATCTGGTTATGACCTGCGGCCCGTTATCCACAGCGATCTTTGTCACGTCCCAAAAGACATGCTCATCCACAGCTCTCTCGTGATTTACATATTTGGTCTCGAATGGACTCAATTGTTGGGATTCGATGGACATCGTAGCGTGGTTGGATCTCTTTGGGACGTCAACTGCGTCCTCTTGCTCATCTGACGAGGCTAACCACCTTGCATGGGTTTAAAAGGCCTAGCCATGGTATTCAATCCTTATCTCATACCCACTCTTCTCCGCTCTGTACACGAAGCAGCAACATGCCATCCTCTTCCTCCACCTCGCGCTCCAAGGCTGTCAAGCGGCCTTTCAACGCTCTCAAAGGAATACGCTCAGCACAACGATACTGGATGCACAAGGAGATCGCGGAAGTCGATGCAAAGTGGCACACATTGGCTCGCTCTCGCCACGACTTGCGCAAATACGACGAATACTCAGGGCTGGAAAAGGCGGAGTTGGAGGCTGCGCAGAAGGAACTTGTCTGGCGCGAGGTCCACCAGCTTCGTCTGACTCGACTTCCCCAGTTCGACTATATGTGGCAGGAGAACATCAGGATCTCCCTTGAGGCATACAGTGACGGGAACATGGATTTCAATGCCATCGTGGCCATCGAGGTCCGTCTGTCGGTTTATATTGATCTTGTCAAGTATGACTGACAGAAACCTTCACAGAGATATAAGCGTCTATGGAACTGCTTGGAGCAAGAAGCGAGCGCCACTGCTTCTCGCAGTCGGAAGCGCCAGAGCGACGAAGAATACGCCGCCGCACTAAGCTCCGTCCTGCTCAAGCACCGTATGTCACAAGAAGCCGCCACGAACGACTTTTACGGGAGGTTCGACCATCCGAATCCGTTGTGGCTTGATCCCAATGCTCTGTCCTTTTTTCTGGGCCCAGATGCACCTCAGCAGTTCAAAGCTCTCGAACACCAGATGTGTTTCGTCTCTGAAGTTCAACGTTTCCGCGACGCGTCCTACTTTCAGGCGGAGAGCGATGTTGAGCGGGACGAGATGCTCAAGATCTGGTTTCGCGGCTTCTTCATCCCTCGGAGGGAGTACATGCAAGAGATGTTCGACTACGCGGACGCCTGCCTTAGATCCCTTGAGGGTATGGACGACGGGGCGGGTAATCTCATGATGAGTGCAGCGATGTGGTTGCATGAACATCAGACAAACGGGAAGTTCAAGATTTCCCCTCCATCGTTGCGCTACTAGGCGCAAGATACACTTGAACTGTATATATAGTATAGCTTTCATCTGATCTCAATGTATACACATCTTTGCGTCTCTTTGGCAACGCTACGTATGAATGATTGGCTCTACTAGACGGGATGGCGTCACAAATTGAACGTCGGGGTTACTGTGGTATCCCCGCGGCACATACTATTCAAAGGGCCGCGGTACGGTTTCCCACTTCCTCATTCCCACTTAATCATACTGCAGCCCTTAAGCATCAGCTCTACATCCCGAGTCCTCTGAAGGCGTTTCCGTAACACGGCGCCGTAAATAGTATGAGGCTCTCCATGAGCGTCACAATGTGGCTTCACGAGAAGCGGTCAGAAAGCAACTCGAAGGTGGCGGGTCCGATATAACCGCCTCCGGGAATAAGCTACCAATCTCCTCGGCTTGGAGGGGGTCGTGTCCTCTTCATCCATTATGCACGCAGAACTGGACCATCATCGAGGGACTTGGCACGACAAGCTGCGTGTCGTTATGGCACGGTATTTGAGCTTCTGACAAAGAGCGTCATGAAGAGGTAAAGGCAACAATCACTGGCACGCACCGGAAAAAGGCATGGAAGACCAGCCATGCAGTATTGTACGCTGAATAAATAGCTCATTTGTCGTTGAGTACGGCGCTTGGGGTGCTCATTGAGCTGATATTCGGGCCCCGTCTACTTATCGAGGAATGTCAGAGGGGCTTATCAGCGACAAGTCTAGTGACGCACCTCAGATGGCTGCCGACAGCCAGAGTTCCACATCGAGCTCACACAGACAAGCCGAGCACTAGATTTTCTTGTCAAGACCACAGAGTGAAGGGCACATGAACCCGCTATGAGTGACTCGGGTGAAGGACGGCAGGCGTGGACCTGAAGCGGTGGCGGCGGGAGTGGGCAGGGAGGCGGATATCCTGCGTCAGATATCGAGTGTGCGCGTAATGGCTCCCCCGACCACGAAGGTCATGTCATCCTAGAGGTCTATAGAGAATGGAGTATTCGCGTGTCGAGCGCGGACATGGTGGGTGCGCGCAAGCCCGGAACCGTCGTAGAGGCCTTGCTCGGGCCGAGGACCCGAATGCGCGTTTGCGCAATTGTGATCAACGCGAGCTGGCTTGTCTTTCGCCTCGACGCAGCAAATTCTACCCGGTCCCTATACCCTCGTCCTGGCATACGGAAGTGGATGCAACTATGGTGCTATGCTTGGACCATGCCTCACAAAATTAGGGTGGTCCGCGATGATGAGAAGATCATTGCCAATTTCTGACATCTCCCGCTGCATGGCCGATGTGTACTCGTTGTACCCCGCACAGTCCCCTAGCCTTCCCGTTTCAATGTATCTCAAGAGATACGATCTACTGGGACCTGAGCTACTAACTCTGCATATTCAGTTCTGGGTTCAACAGCAGTGAAAAACGACAACGACTAGTTGCACTGGTTGCACTGGCCCTCGCTCCCACCTCGTTCTTTTGGGAATGTCGACAGTGTTCATGGGATGAGTTCAGGAATTTCCAATGCATCCACTTGCGCTCAGGAAGCTCATTCGCCGCAAGGCGGCGTTGTAGCTTCGATCTCGACACTTGGATTCCCACCACACGACGACTATGAAGATCTCCCCCTTAACCACCGCTATCAGTGTTCCAAGTGAACGGTTTTGCGCCATGGTGGTCTCAATTCTCGGCTCGCTGACCTACGCATAGCAACTAACCCGTCGTTGAAAGACCATTGTTCTTATGCGCCGTCGAGTCAAAGGTCTCAGGACTGCACCGCTTCTTGGTGCACCAGCCTCGCGTATCTCGCTTAAGTGCACCGCTCGCGGCGCAATCACGACCATTGTCATGGTTCTCGAGCGCTCCAATTCCTTCACCGCCGCTTGGGATGGTTTACTCTTGGATTCTGGAGTATAAAGTGTTCCTCGCGAGTGCCAATCACACGACGATCTTACTCGTTCCGCTTATCTCCCAACCATCATGCGTATTCTCTTCCTACTGCATCCATTCTCTTCATCCCCTTTGGAGCGCCGCGTGAGCTCCGGTCATGCCAGTAGTAGCGGCCACAGCGGAGGTGGTGGTGGCGGAGGCTCCAGATCAGGATCTTCAAGCGGGGCTCGCGGCGGGTTTGGGGGATCATACGGTTCTCATGGTATGCAGTTTGTCTCGCTCCTAATGGTATTGTACCTCATGTTTTTACTCTAGGCTCTGAGGTATCGACACCTCACGTCATGGGCGGTAAATCCAGCGCTTCTACGTACAGCAATGGAGGCGGCAAGGCGACGAAAGCCAGCAGCGGCGCTTTCAAAGGGAGCTTGCTCGGCGGAGGCACGCGCTCCGACATATATGGGACGAGGTACATATCTAGCACAATTGTACAGCGTACAACTTATACTCACCGCGGCATCTTGCGCAGAGTCTACGGTAGTGGTTACCCAAAGGGTTACCAAAGCCACGATCTTCCGTACTACTATTATCCCGTTGTCTGGGGCGCTGGGGCTGCGGCCGCCGGCGCGGCAACTTATCCTCTCTATCTGAATCGCACGGCGGAATACGGACAGCCTACGAATAGCTCCCGACCAGGAGGGCATCTCATGCAGATCACGCTGCAATCCCGGCTCGCTACAAACAGCAGCACATTCCATTTCATCTCAGACAATACTACGGTGCAGGCAATTCTGCCCATCCTCCGATCCTACTGCTCACTTTACGGATGGGTCGACACGAACACGTCTTCGTCCGCACCCTATGCCTATACTGGCGTAAACGCGAGCGATCCGCTCCCTACCGATGCTGTGCAATACTACCGCTCAAGCACTGCAGTGTTGACTCTGGATGGATACAATAACACGATTGTACTGAGTTCTACACCAAATGCGACGGCTCAGCCACTGCCTACGAATGTGGACCGCGTCACATTGGGCTGTTTAAACGACACCATCGGTGCCGCGATCCCGCTCATCAATCCACCTGCAGGCCTCTCCACCGGCGCTATCTTCGGGATTGTACTGGGCAGCCTGATTGGTTTCTTTGGCTGCTTGCTTCCCTGCCTGATTGCCTGTGTCAAATGCTGCTGCTGTTGCGACATCAGGCGTGAGAGCCGGCAGGAGAGGAAATGGAGAAAAGAGCGCGAACGTTGGGAGAAGGCCCACCCCTTACCACAATATATCGCGCCACCCAGGCCCGAGGTTATCCGAATGGAGACACTGCCTATTCCGGTCGCAACTGTGAATCAGAATCAGGATGTTCCGAAGGTGGCGACCGTTGCATTGTCAGAAAGCGACGACGAAGGACACGCTGATTTGACCTCGGATACAAACCGCACGCCGCCGTCTGGTTCGGGAGGTTACGCCATGATTGAAGGAACATGCATCATGACCATGAAGCATAACCGCACCATCATCTGAGACTGCATACACAAGAACCGAGACTTTGACAGACTTCGACCTACCGTCATGGCGAATCAGCACATGCAGCTTCTTGCCCCACCATCCCAATATCACTCTTGCACCAGATCCCCGCCACCTTCACATTCGACTCCGGAGACCACATATACCAAATGAATCTTCTAATCTTGTCGCACTGTACTATACGATACCCATACACAGCGTTCGACGGCCGCAGTCTAATACTTGAAGAAAATCCATGATCATATTACTGTCTGAATGCGCGTTGCGCGCGGCCTGTCGCGGCGCTGTCGAGGTAGACCTTGTTGACGCAAATGTTTCAGAGATCATGCACCGACTGTCAGTATAATCAGACTCAGCACCTCCCGTAGCTTAAGCTCAGCGGGTCGAAATCGAAAATGCCCCCCAAATCGGTAGTGGATGTCGAAGTCAGAGCGGCGTGCGAGAAAGTTCTTACTCAGTGCTGATGACGCGGCATTTGGTCCGCGTTTGCGGTTCGAAATCCGAGGTTGACCTCGTCTACCACCGAGTACCGGCGCGCTCTTCGATGACAGGCCCTCGACGCACACTGTACCCCACATTTGAAGACGCTCTGATCCTGTTTGAAATTGTCGGGTCGGACGGCAAAACGATGTTAACGATGTTTAGGCTGTTCGGTGTGAACCACGGGCCCAAGAAATGAGGCGGCGGCCATACCGGTCTCACAGCTCAACTCGTATTCTTTGGCCAGCACCGCGCTGCCAATGCCCAAAAGGACGACGTCGGGAAGAAAATGAATTTGCAGGTTGCTGCAGCCGCACATTGATAATGCATCCATGCCTGCCGACTCTGCTCTTTTGTCCGCGCCTACAACGCTCTCCTCGGCGGCAAGAACTACAAGGTACGTAAGATATGTCGCTAGCCGTAGGGAACAGACGCGCTGATACTATCGAACGCTAGCTATGGAGACAGCACCGAGTAACTTGGGCGTATGCTGGCCACTACTGTATGACGAATAGAAAGCTGGAATTTCCGCGCCGATTTGGGCATTCGGCAGATGGCCCTTGCAAGTCTATAACGCGACACGCGGTCACTGGACCACACGGCACTGTCTATGTACTCCCGCTAGCCATTGTTTTAACTCGTACAAGACTGCCTGAACCTCGTTCGCCGACGGTCAACCCCTCTCCCAGTCGTTGCACTCCCCGCCCCTTCGTCCAATGCATCTCTTCAGCCGCCACTTCGAACCGGAACGGCGTACCATCATCCACACCAGTTCTGGGTCAGGCGGTAGTCCAGGCTCGGATTCAGGCTCCGTAGGGGGCAGCAAAATTGGAACGTGGATCACCACCAGTACACACGGTACGGCCAATCTCCAACTTCGAGTCTGTATACCGTGTTCTGATCGCATCGTATCTAGAACCGCAGAGCGAGGTCGTGTCTACACCCAACCTTCCGAAAGGAAAGGTTGCCGTGACGTTCAGTAGTGGCGGTGGTAAAGCGTCGAAGGTGTCTGGCGGCAAGTTCAAAGGACGCGTGCTGGGAGGAGGTTCGCGGCAAGACATCTTTGGTGCCAGGTGTGTGCACTCCGTCACCATGCTCTTTGCACATCTGACGCATGGCATCTCTCGTCTAGTGTCTACGGCAGCGGCTATCCTGGTTGGTCAGCTAGGAGCATCGGTGTTGCTGGTCAACCCTTCCCTTACTTCTTCTACCCTATCGTTTGGACGACATCGACATCCGCGGCTCTCCCTCCCTACTTGGACGCCACAGCAGAGTACGGGCTTCCTACCGATACGTCGCGCCCTGGCGGCGCGTTGGTGCAGGCTACGCTTCATTCAAACACGACAGGGGACGTCTTCCACTTCATCGCGGACAACAGTACAGCTCAAGCCGTTCTACCGATCTTGCGTGCGAACTGTGGCGTAGATGCTAACGCTTCTTCGTCATCGCCATTTGCCTACACCGGCGCCAACGCGGCTGACCCGAGTCCGGTCGACGCGATCCAGTACTTTCGCGCAAGCTCAGCCGTGCTGATTCTCGAAGGATACAACAACACCGCCACACTTTTGAATACGCCAGACGTTGCCGCCTTCCCATCTATTCCTACGGATACGGACGCCGCCCTCCTCTCTTGCTTGAACACTACCATCGGCGCATCGATGCCGCTCGTCGATGCGCCTCTCAAGTTCCACTGGGGCTCGTTGGGCATCTTCCTTCTCATCCTGGCGGGATGCGCCGGTCTGGCTTTGGTTGTGACGGTGGCGTGCTGTTTCTGCTGCTCGGCATACCGTAGGAGGTTGAGGCGTCAGGATGCTGCAGAGGGCAAGATAGAGGGCGGAAATGTTAGCGCAGGTATAAGTGGCAATGAACGGGGCTATGGGATGTATCGGCTGGTAGAACGTCCCGCGTAGTTCTTGTACCGATGGAAATATGCATCTGGTGCCCTCACATCCACCGGTACCACGTAAAGATGCATAAAGTTTGCACCGAACGTGTAAGACGTGCGATCCTCCGCACATCATGCCCATCCCTCATGAGCTAGACGAAGATGCGGCGACTTTGGCTCGCGCATTTGCATAGTGTACAAGCGCATGCCAAAATGGCTACCTGCGAATAGCAACGCCTCCCAACGGGGGAAATGGTAAGGTTTAAGTAGCGCACGTTCCGTGACTGGCCGCGAACGATCGCGGTCGTGACTGAGCGCGCTTCGTTGCCTTTCTCCTCCCACCATCATGCTCGTGAGTTCGACCTCTAACCCGGCAAATCATTATCATATGGCTGAGAAGCGACGATAATTATTTACTAGGATTTCTCATACGGACTGCTAGAATCGATCTCGGACTGACAATTTCAGTGCCGAGATGGCAATGACATGAGCGCAATACCACGACGATATTCACTTTTTACGCTTGATTGCATTCCATCTCATGATACTGTTAGATACTGTATTTATATAAGCAGTCAAGGTATACTTAAACAAGCCTCTCTCGTAGATTCATGGTCTCTTCCAAAATCAATCCTTCCAGTCTCCCAAGCGCCTGGAGTTTGAGATCAGAGGGGACTTTATACCATCTCCAAGACCCTCGTGGACTCATCCGATCATCTACACTTCGTGCGGACTGAACTTTACGTCTCCGACACTTCATCGCCTTTGTGATATCCGCTCCAGCACGCCAGATTCTCGCCAGTAAGTCTGGATGACTTTCGGGAAGCAAGCTCATGGGCTCGTACTTCATCGCAGCTACAAAGAGTCCAGTATGACCGGATTCAAGGTCATGAGCGTTTATATCTGCGCCATGTTCTATGAGAATGAACAGGAGCTCGGGCACGTTTCCAAACACGATATAGTAACATGCGCGATTGAACAAGGTGTACCCTTGCTCATCTTCCACATTGACATCCGCACCCCAGCTCAACAGCATGTCTATCAATTCAAAATAGTGCTTTCGAGAATTTGGAGTACAAGCCATATATGCTGCACTCCTGTCGAAAGCTGCCAGAGATAACGGAGTCTGGCCATCACCACTGCTTTCATTCACTGCTGCGCCTGCCTCGAGCAGTGCACGCACTGTGCTGGGATTTCCGGCTACGCATGCAATGTGAAGTGGTGTATTCCCTAGGCGATTCCGGGCTCCGACGTCTGCGCCATGACTGAGAAGTGTTTGGAGGATCTTCTGAACTTCGGATTCTTCAACGGACGAGGGTACGAAACCCGCCTCTGCGTAAACATATTGCGGTAGTTCGGCCGCAAGATGCAA